GAGCTGCAGGGCACAACGGAACATACTTGTTCCCTAACCAGATTCTTATGGTGTGAGGCTGAGAGAAAGGCCGGCCCGGATTTATGAACATACACAAAAAAGAATGACTAGGACTGAAAACCGCCGATGGGCAGCAATCTTGGCAAAGTAATTAGGCAGTGAATTAAACGAACATAATAAAATAATAAAACTATGGGCAGCAAACTCTTACCAGTCTTGCATATGAAGACAATTCGCCTGCCACCTTCGGCGAGCGGTTTGTAGGTTTCGGGCAAGTGATGCTTGATGACAATGACGGCGATGAAAGTCTTGCCCAGGCCTGTATTCAGCTTAATGATGACGCTCTCGTGTTTCGCGATTTCGGCCATTTCCACCTGATAGGGCCTAGCGCACAGCGTTTTCTGTTTGACTGGTTCCAGGGCTCTTCGTCCAGATTTCATATTCTAACGGGAGGATTTGCAGCACTTGAGAGAGAGAAGTTTATATACAAGACCAGACAGTTAACTCCGGAAATAACAGAAAACGGCAATCTCGAAGTAAATGCCACAAACAACAGCAGATATGAATGGATACGAAGAGATTTGCATGAGTAAAGGGGAAGACTGATCGGACACCGCAACAGTTTATTTAAATCGTTTTGAGTTTTTAAATTCGTGCAGGAATTTAGCTTAAGAGCTAGCAGCAGCGGCAAAATGGCGACAACCATACAGAGTGTAAGTCAATCAATTGTCAGTGAAGAAAAACTGGATGTGACTACGCAGGGATCCGTACACCGACGCTAGATCGCTACACCGATTGACTGAGTTCCCATTCGTGAACCAGGTTTCAAGGTGTTAGGAGTCAAGCCAAACCGAATGCAAGCAACCTGGCAGGCTATCCTGCGGCGTCACGCCTGCAGCCGACTACGAACAATGGTACCTTTGTCAACAGTGGACTGCATCAAAGTCATATGCCTTCGCTGGTGACTGTGCCCACGCGATGACCTTAAACCTCTAAACAAGACACCGACGCACGCGAGTCCACAGGCGTGCCCAACTAGTCGCAGTTCCTCAAGGGCCACTTAGGCTTGCCGCGGCAGGTGACCTTATGCCAACGCGCCCAATCATGCCACAAGCGAACGCGCTTGACAATCACCAATAAGCCACTTTTACATCTAAGACAGTGAGTTGCAACATGGACTGACAAGGACAAATCCAGTCCGCTACATTGTCGGGATTCTTTGCGAGGCGAGGACATTCAGCGCTGGCTTTACGCTGAGCGGCAACTGCCATCCGAGACAGCAACTCCGGGTTTTGTACACAAAAAAGTCTCCTCCAGGTGGTTTCCACTTTTACGCCTATCGTATTGTGTAACTCCTTGGGGATTCCAAAGGGAGTTATTCGACGGTGTCATAGCGAGAAGTAAATGTTACAACACAAGGAATTCTCAGTTCGGTCAGTCTAGGGCAGCTTCTGCTATCTTGATCAGTCACCTTATACCTTTATACAACGAAATATCGCAGAAGCGACGGTGTTTTCATGGAAACGTTTTTTTTAAATTTTGAAGCCCATTTAGGAAACAGTCTTTAGAAGTCGAGGTTAACTTGAAAACTGATGCGCAAAAGATGATTTGCAATGTGGCAACCTCAGCTAAATAAGAAAGTGAAAAAAACGGTGGGGAAAATTGATGGAATTTGTTGCGGCAAAGGAAGTTTTATATACACTGGAAGGCTAAAATATACTTAAGTTAGGTTTCACAGAATATTGTCAAATAGGCGGGATCTTTAATATTTACGGTACACGTGTTATTTCACAAAATGGTAATAGAAATCGTCGAATCTTGTTTCGGCCTAAATATTAATATTTTCATGCAGCATGACCTACGGACCCTTCAGTCGTATCGGGATGCCGGTGAGCTCATTTCAATCACCATCGACCGCTCGACCGTCGATCACCATGTGGTCATCAGCGCGGTCGCGCAGTGACAGTGACCTACCTGTGCATCAGTGTTCAGTTATATTGGACTTGCTTTGCATCGGCCGCATTCTCGCTTTACCCTCACCGCGTGTCCTAACCAAGTCAACAACACCAGCAGTGGGATCGGGCGCAGACGGTTGGCGTAGTCGGAGCCGACCACG